GGAACTTCCATTAGATCCAACAATCCGAATCACAAAATGAATAAAGCCAACCTATTTTTAAGAGCGATTTCAAACAAAAAAACACATTCATAAGTAAAACTCTACTATACTACCACCTCCAATAAGATAATTCACAGTTTATTAGTGTTCAAGGACTCATCAAGATTGATTACTCCTCGATTTCTTGATTGCTGCTTATTAAGCACTGATATTCTCCAGTTTGAATGCCCAGATCCAAGCACTTTGGAGTGCATGAAGTTTGATGTTTGACACATCGATCACAATGCCACGATTTCCACCAGCTACGCGCCATGGAAGAGGATCAGCACTTGAGCTCAGAAGTGTCACAACTGTTCTCGAGGAGCTCAATGGAGCACCGAGTATAATTTCGGTGCTATCCTTTGGCCATATGAGAAGAAAAGCATAGACGAATTTGCCGTCTTTTGATGATGTATACCTAAAGCGAGAAAAATCTTCATATTTCTCTGTTTAATCAGACTTACCAAACATCTGAATTGATCGTATCATTTTGATACTTCCATGGTATAGTGGCATAAATTCCTTCACCATTCACTTGCAACCATGAACCCATCTGTCGAAGACGCTCCTGAAATATTGGTGCAATCTTTCCATGCAAATTAGGACCAACATTGACCAAGGCATTTCCTCCAGTACTAAATAAAAAGTAATAATAAAGATCTTATTGTGAAAATTTCGCACAAGAAAATGGAAACGAACCTGATCGTAGTAACTACTTCTTTGAGTAATTCTTCAGTCGTCATATAATCATCAATGTTAGCAGTAGGACGATATGCCCATGAGCGTTTATCGATCTACCCAAATGCAATAACTATTGAAATTTAATTGAATCTTTGAAAACTTTATTTCATACCGTGAATGCATTTTCCCATTTGTGTTCGATTAGATATCCCGGATTATAGCGATCCAAACAGGTGTAGAAATCACCATGTTTGCACAGAAGTTCACTACCCCATCGATCATTGACAACCTACGCGAATCAACTAGGCATTTTGATCATTAACCATATACAATACTTACGACAGTATCTTTCACTGGACTATCATTGTAGAGCCAAGCCAAAAATTGAGTGGAATTCCAATAGGTATCACGTGGTTCTGAAATAGGATGTGAATACATTTGAAGAATAGAGATTTATCAACAAACCCCACTCGCCATCAGACCAGATAATTTCAGGTTTGTATGTTTCAACGATTTCTTTTAGCTCCGGCAATGCTTTCGTCTATAAAGATATGTTCTGCGTCTGATTCTGTTTCATGCATAGTAAACATTTACTTCTGGAAAGTATTGAGTAGTGAAATTGTTAGCTTTATCTCGTAGATACACTGGATTGAACCATTCGAATAAGGAATAATACAAGCCAAAGACAAGATCTGTTCGATTACGAATAGCTGTAGCCAAATCTCCTAAAAGTGTCACATTGGAAAAAA